CCTACACTGTTATCTAGTGTAAACTTTTTTGTCATTGACAGTATTGACAAATCCAAAGCGTTATCACTAGTCCTACACTGTTATCTAGTGTTAACTTTTCTGTCTATGACAGTATTGACAAATCCAAAGCGTTATCACTCGTCCTACACTGTTATCTAGTGTAAACTTTTTTGTCATTGACAGTATTGACAAATCCAAAGCGTAATCACTCGTCCTACACTGTTATCTAGTGTTAACTTTTCTGTCTATGACAGTATTGACAAATCCAAAGCGTTATCACTCGTCCTACACTGTTATCTAGTGTAAACGTTTTTGTCTATGACAGTATTGACAAATTAAAAGCGTTATCACTAGTCCTACACTGTTATCTAGTAATAAAAAAATTGTCTATGACAGTATTGACAAATCCGAAGTGTTATCACTCGTCCTACACTGTTATCTAGTGTAAACTTTTTTGTCTATGACAGTATTGACAAATCAAAAGCGTTATCACTAGTCCTAAACTGTTATCTAGTAATAAAAAAATTGTCTATGACAGTATTGAAAAATCCAAAGTGGTATCACTCGTCCTACACTGTTATCTAGTGTAAACTTTTTTGTCTATGGAAGTATTGACAAATCCAAAACGTTATCACTCGTCCTACACTGTTATCTAGAATAACCTTTTTTGTCTATGACAGTATTGACTAATCAAAAGTGTTATCACTCGTCCTACACTGTTATCTAGTGTAAGCTTTTTTGTCTATGACAGTATTGACAAATCAAAAGCGTTATCACTAGTCCTACACTGTTATCTAGTAATAAAAAAATTGTCTATGACAGTATTGACAAATCAAAAGTGTTATCACTCGTCCTACACTTTTATCTAGTGTAAACTTTTTTGTCTATGGAAGTATTGACAAATCCAAAACGTTATCAGTAGTCCTACACTGTTATCTAGTATGTTTTTTTTTGTCTATGAGAGTATTGACAAATCAAAAGTGTTATCAATCGTCCTACACTGTTATCTAGTGCAAACTTTTTTGTCTATGACAGTATTGAAAAATCCAAAACGTTTTCACTAGTCCTACACTGTTATCTAGTAATAAAAAAATTGTCTATGACAGTATTGACAAATCCAAAGCGTTATCACTAGTCCTACACTGTTATCTAGTATGTTTTTTTTTGTCTATGACAGTATTGACAAATCAAAAGTGTTATCACTCGTCCTACACTGTTATCTAGTGTAAACTTTTTTGTCTATGAAAGTATTGACAAATCCAAAACGTTATCACTCGTCCTACACTGTTATCTAGAATAACCTTTTTTGTCTATGACAGTATTGACAAATCCAAAGTGTTATCACTCGTCCTACACTGTTATCTAGTATATTTTTTTTTGTCTATGACAGTATTGACAAATCAAAAGCGTTATCACTAGTCCTACACTGTTATCTAGTGTAATCTTTTTTGTCTATGACAGTATTGACAAATCCAAAGCGTTATCACTCGTCCTACACTGTGCAGACATAAGTCATCCAGCCAAAGATTGGTCAATACATCAGCGCTGGACCGAACTCCTACTGGAGGAGTTTTTCAGACAGGTAAGAAACAATATACAGGTTAACATTTAAACATAATGTGGTACTCCTCATCTGTAGATTATCAATGCAAAGAATTCATAATTATGACTGGAGATGACACTTTGGGCTTATATTAACTTTTACAATAAATGATTCACAAGTTGTATCATTTTAAGAAATACAATTTAGGGAATGCATTTTCATGTATCCAACAACAAGGTAGCATAAGATATGGTTTTGGTGATATTTCAAAATATGAAATAAAATACATTAAGTAAAATTTCATTGTAACAAACATGGACAGTATATACATTTAAAGTAAGAAAAATGTAAAAAAAAAAAAAATCAAATTAGGCACAAAACTTTAAATAAAGAATACATGTGCCCCCGTCCACCTTTTCATTTTAAACACTACTATTCTGAACGACTCAGTGGATTTTGACAAAATTTGGCCTGGAGCATCCTTCTTGGTCGAGGGGACTCAATTTCGTACAAACCGAGGGTGTGGCCCATGGGGTCAAAGGGTTGGGGCCTAATTAGCTGTATAGCATCCTTGGGCAAAGGGGGTGCAATTTCAGAATGGAGGGTATGGCTGACCCCAGGGGTAGAGGGGTGGGCCCTATAGGGGGAATTTAAGTAAATATTTTTCCTTTGATGAATAGAAAAGGTTTTTAACCAATATTTGTCTAGAGAAATCTGGGGAATAGAGAAATCAATTTTGTATAAATAGAGGGCGTTGCCACCCTTGGACAAACACTTGTATCGACTTCTGAAGAATCGAAAGGCATATTTTCATAATATTTGGCTGGTAGCTTCTTGGGATAGAGCCAATAAAGTTTACAAATGAAAATGACCTTGACCTTCTTTCAAGGTCTCAGGCATCAAGTATATAAAATATGTTTTAAACAAATTCTTTTGAATAACCAAGAGAGCTAAAGTCATGATATTTGGCAAGTAGATACCTTGTACAATGTGCTATAAACTTTCTTCAAATAAATTACCTTGATCGACTCAAAGGCCACAAGGTCAAATATGTAAAAATCTTCAAAACCAAAAGGCCAAGCTATACAGTGCTATAAATTTGCTGCTAATGGATGACTTGACCTACGTTGAAAGTCAAAGTGGACAAATGTGTTTTAAACTAAGACACATATATGTGATGATATTTGGCCAGTAGCATGCTGTGATTTCGTGCTACAGTTGTGGGATCGCACAACGTTACACGATGTGCGGTGTGCGCATGATGTGTGCAAGGTGTGTGAACGGTGTGTGCACTATGGGCGAACGATAAAAAGCTTGACGATCATTGCTTGCGCACAGCTGTGCGCACGATGGACGGACGTTGTGCGATAACAATCGTGGTTGGTGTAAATTGAGAAATGCCTTAACAATTTATACGGTTTAGTGTTTAAACATATAAACTTGATGTTTACTTATGTTTCTATATTCTAGCAACATCTATAAACTTGTATTTCTGTTTATACATTCTTATATTTAAAAATTGTGTTTTCTGTGTTTTTTAACAAACTTAATCGACACATGTAAAATTAAAACACAATCCCGTATACAGGTAAACATAACCACTTTGTACATGTACCTGGACCGTAGTTTTCTCCCCGCCTGGGGCACTTACGTAACTCGTCGGGTAAGGCCGGGGGTGTGAAAATCGAGGTGAAGGGGAGGTATAGGCAAACGAATGCAAATAACAAATACTATTCATTATGGTCAAACGATATCGAATATCAGCTCTGTGTGTCAGGCACTGGTCAGGTAAAACTCTGGACACTCATAAAATTGTTATTTACCTGTTCTGTTACCTTGGAGCCAAACCCATTCTTGACAGCCTAACGGTCGCTGTAATACTGTGTAACGCGCATTGTGAAATTGTATAATCTTGATTATTGTGATGAGAAATTACAGATATATACACAGTGTACATTATCGCATACGAGCCTTCCGTATTTTTGTCATTCCGTAATTTTGATCTACAAATGATACCAAATCGCACAGTTGTGCGGAGAGAAGCGCACAACGGGGCGAACAATTGCTAAATAGCACAGTTGTGCGCAAAATGTGTGGACGATGTGCAGACGCGGTGTGTGAACGATGTATGCACGGTGTGCGCACGATATTTATGGTGCGTTGTGCGGTCCCACAACTGTATAAAAAAAAATCAAATAAATTAGCTTGACCAACTTTTAAGGTCACAGGGATCAAATGTGTAAAAATCTTCCTAATAACGAAGAGTGCAATCAAAGGAATGACCTTTACCTATTTGACCAAATTAAGTATGAAATATCCGTGGATCAAGAGGACTCAATGTTGTATAAAGGGAGGGTCTGGTTCCTCAAAGTACAGTAGGATGGCACTCAATAGAGACAACCACGGAGAAAATTCTTATAATTCCTCAAAATTACTTGTATTAATTGAGAACATTTTCATATATCCAGGTGAGCGATACATGCCCTCTTGGCTTCTTGTTTGGTTATGAGAAATCTCCGTTACATCTGAATACTTACAACATCAATAGATACTAACTGGTCTTAAAGATAAAACAATGGTGTAACATTAGACCTAATATTTAGAAATTCACCGGTGAGCAATCTCCCGTAATTTATCTGATTCTGGTTATGTGAATATCTTGATATTTAATTATTTATCTTTTTTAGTTTTAAAAAGTACATTAAACATGTCTAAACTGGCTTCACTTTTTATTTGACGGACAAATGACAGGCACTGCACCACAACACTTCATTCCTCTATCACCTTTTCTGTAAAAGCCATAATATCTGCATGGATTTTGACCAAGTTTTAGCTAAATTGACTCATCGTTATATAAATGAAGGACGTGTCTTCTTAGGGGCAGAGGGGAGGGGCCAAATATAGGAAATATGGGTAAATATTTAAAGTCCTTCTTCTTAAGTATCGATATACGGATTATGACCAAAATTGGTCTGGGGTAGCCTTAAATTCGGCCAAAGGGACTCAATAATGTATAAATGAAGGATTTGGCCCAACTGGGGAAGTTGTGCTGGGCCCAAAAAGGGTAATAAAGGTAAACCTTTTAAATTCTACTTCTTGAGTATCAGTAAAGGGATTTGAATCTAAATTGGTCTTATACATCATTGGGTCAAGGGGATTCAACATAGGGAAAACAGAGGGTGTGGCTTTCTTATGGGCCCCCAGAGGGAGGCATACTCTTTGAGAAGGAGTACAAGGATTTTAACATGATTTGGTTTGGAGCATCCTTTGGCCGTGGGAAATTAAATTAACATTGTATAAACAAAGGGCGTTAAACCTTTAGGAGGAATGAGGCCCATCTGGGGAAATTTCGGTAAATATATAAAACCCTTTTCCGTGAGTACAGGTTAAAGAATTTAGGACATGCATCATTGTATTTAAGGGAGGGTTGGCTATCCTGGGGACAGATCAAGAGATGGAGCCCTATAGGTGAATACTGGTACATTCTATTTCTTGATTATGGATTAAAGTAATTTCAAATTGATTTGACCTGGAGAATGGTAATAGGCCCTTTTAACTTCAAGAATAAATTGTTGAAGAGAAAAAAGTAACTATAACTATGCATTTGATTAATTACCTTAGGTAAATAGCTATGTTAATACAGTTTTATTAGTCCCCTACCGGTGAAACCGGGGGGACTATAGTTTTCCCCTCCGTCTGTCCGTGGGTCCGTCCGTCTGTCTGTCTGTCCGTCAGTCCGTCTGTCCGAAGAGGTTTGTCAGCACTCTAGAGCCTTCATTCTTTCATGGATTTTAATCAAACTTCACACAGTCATAAAGAATTAAAATATCTTCGACAAGTTCGAGTTTCAAGGTCATCGGATCAAGGTCAAGGTCACTATTACTATAAATAGAAAAACTTTGTCAGCACTCTAGCGTCTTCATTCTTTCTTGGTTTTTAATCAAACTTCACACAGTCATAAAGAATTAAAATATCTTCGACAAGTTCGAGTTTCAAGGTCATCGGATCAAGGTCAAGGTCACTATTACTATAAATAGAAAATCTTTGTCAGCACTCTAGCGTCTTCATTCTTTCTTGGATTTTAATCAAACTTCACACACTCATAAAGAATTAAAATATCTTTGACAAGTTCGAGTTTCAAGGTCATCGGATCAAGGTCAAGGTCACTGTTACTATAAATAGAAAATCTTTGTCAGCACTCTAGTGTCTTCATTCTTTCATGGATTTTAATCAAACTGCACACACTCATAAAGAATTAAAATATCTTCGACAAGTTTGAGTTGGACAGGTTCGAGTTTTAAGGTCAAATGGTCAAGGTCACAGTTACTATAAATAGAAAATTTTATTTAACATTCTTCCTTGCCTGTTTATCAAACTTCACACACTTGTAAAGATACCTTTACAATCAACAAATAAGATTTCTTAGTATTTTTATTCCCTTACCGGTGAAACTGGGTGGGGGTGGCAGGGAGGGAGAAGAAAACAAGAATACCTAAAGTTTTCCTCGCTGTCTGTCCGAAGAAGTTTGTCAGCACTCTTGCGCCTTCATTCTTTCCTAGTTTTTAATCAAACTTCACATTATTGTAAAGAATTTAAATATCTTGGACAATTTCAAGGTAATCGGGGCAAGACAAGGTCACTATTACTATTTTAGAAAATCTTTGTCAGCACTCTAGTGCCTCATTCTTTCATGGATTTTAGTCAAACTTCACATTATTGTAAAAAAAATCAATATATTGGACAAGTTCAAGTTTCAAGGTCCTCGGATCTAGGTTGAGGTCACTGTTGCATCTTAATAGATTGCGGGGGCCGGTAGGGGACATGTATTGCTTCAGCAATACTCAGTATGCTTGTTTTATTCATGTTTGTTTTTTAACTGTCAGATGGATTATGCTAAAGTGATAGCATTTTTAAATTAATTGAACATACAGCTATTTATATATGCAGTAGGATGATCAATTCTACCCAATGCTAAAGAAACATACAGTTATGGACAATTAACAGCCACACAGCAACTTGTTCTTGAAAACCTTCCGTCTGTTTCATATAGAAAAACAGAAAGTATGTGAGCTTTTAAGGCCCTACCCGTACCTCAGATATCTTTATTTTCTCCATAAAAAATATGCAAAATTACAGATGGGAGAATTTGGACACTAAGTTCCATATTTCTTTTTCTATTTTGAAAGAAAAAAAATACGAAAGAAATGTGGAGAATATATGGAAAAAGGAAAAAACAAAATACAGAGAAATACAGAAAATACGGAAAATGAATGCTGACATTAGATAATGTAGATAAAGAAGGAATTATGGGTAAATGAGTATTCAAAATCCACAAAAATACCTGCACTGTTTACATCCAGTATTTGAATCGTAAGACGTTAACTGTACATGCCTCTTGTTTAAGAATATTGGAAATTCTCTTCCATCATTGAACTAACATATATACCGCCTTCTTTATCTGTGAGTAACTAAACGGTGTGTCAGGTCTTGAGCTGACTTCTTTAACCATACTTAAATACTCTGTTAATATTGTTTGCCAAGATAAAAATATTTGTTTCAATCACAACCTTTCTTTGAAAGCAGATTAACCTCTTTTTTTACAGGGTGACCGTGAGAAGGAATTAGGACTTCCCTTTTCTCCTCTCTGTGATAGAACTAGCACTCTGGTAGCGGAGTCGCAAATAGGTAAGATGAAATGATGTTACTCTACTTTAACTTTTCATATATTTTAGCAAACAATGGACCTCCTTCCACCAACTTGTTGTTACAATGTATTATAACAAAAAAAGTACATTCCTCAACTTGTTTCATTGTATTATAACAAACAATGTACCTCCCTCACCTTGTGACATTGTATTATATAACAAACAATGTACCTCTCAGTTTGTTACATTGCATTATAACAAACAATGTACCTCTCTCAGCTTGTTACATTGTATTTGCCTCTTTCAGCTTGCTACATTGTATTATAACAAACAATATACCTCCCTCACCTTGTGACATTGTATTATATAACAAACAATGTACCTCCCTCACCTTGTTTCATTGTAATATAACAAACAATGTACCTCCCTCACCTTGTTTCATTGTATTATAACCAAACAATATACCTCCCTCACATTGTGACATTGTATTATATAACAAACAATGTACCTCCCTCACCTTGTTTCATTGGAATATAACAAACAATGTACCTCCCTCACCTTGTGACATTGTATTATAACAAACAATGTACCTCTCTCAGCTTGCTACATTGTATTTTAACAAACAATGTACCTCTCTCAGCTTGTTACATTGTATTTGCCTCTTTCAGCTTGCTACATTGTATTATAACAAACAATATACCTCCCTCACCTTGTTTCATTGTATTATAACAAACAATATACCTCCCTCACCTTATGACATTGTTTTATATAACAAACAATGTACCTCCCTTACCTTGTTTCATTGTATTATAACAAACAATATATCTCCCTCACCTTGTGACATTGTATTATATAACAAACAATATACCTCCCTCACCTTGTTTCATTGTATTATAACAAACAATATACCTCCCTCACCTAGTGACATTGTATTATATAACACACAATATACCTCCCTCACCTTGTTTCATTGTATTATAACAAACATTGTACCTCTCTCAGCTTGTTACATTGTATTATATAACAAACAATGTACCTCTCTCAGCTTGTTACATTGTATTTACCTCTCTCAGTATTTTACATTGTATTATAACAAACAATGTACCTCTCCCAGCTTGTTTCATTGTATTATAACAAACAATGTACCTCCCTCACCTTGTGACATTGTATTATAACAAACAATGTACCTCTCTCAGCTTGTTACAATGTATTTACCTTTCTCAGCTTGTTGCATTGTATTATAACAAAGAATGTACCTCTCTCAGCTTGTTACATTGTTATATAACAAACAATGTACCTCTCTCAGCTTGTTACATTGTATTTACCTCTCTCAGCTTTTTACATTGTATTATAACAAACAATGTACCTCTCTCAGCTTTTTACATTGTATTATAACAAACAATATACATAGCTGTCAAACCTCCTTCATTAGGAAGAAGACTCCCTCATTTTCACCAAAATTTATCAATATCACTCCAAACTCCCTCATTTAAGTCCAAACTTGCACAAACTTAAAATCTATATCCTGTGTTCAAATGATCTCCTAGTTACTACAGAGTGTGTGTGTAATGAGAATAACAGGTGGGTCTGAATCGAATTCATACTTTTGGGAGGTTTTTTATACATAAAAAGGGAAAGATAAATTGAGGAAAGCAGTTTCAGTCAAGTTTCATGCACTTTCTCCCTCTTTGGAAATGTGGAATGAGGGAAATCTCCCTCATTGGAGGTTTCAGAGCTCGAGGTTGACCTCCCCCAATCATAATCACAATATATCTTCCACACCTTGTTTCCTTGTATAATAATGAACAATGGCCCTCACTCAACTTGTTCTTATGGATTTAGCTAATCATCATTGGATGGTGGAATGATCAAATCACCAGCGGTTATTAGTCCTTTAGTTCATCCGTCCTTAAACCATTCTTGTTATTGCTATTTTTCAAGAAGTTTTTGACAAAAAAGTTCTCCAATTTCATGTGAATGTCTCTTTTGTCCATAGCTGTGCATGTTTAACTTTTTTACTGATCAGAAAAACAATATGGCTACATTTTGACATTTCAAGATTGTTTTCACTTTTTCTCAATGAACAAATCTTTTACATATTTATTCAGATTCTCCATTGTCCATAATTGTGCACGATTCATTTTGAGACTGACCGGCAGGTATCTTTGATTTTGACAGTTCAAGATTCTTTTTGCTATTTCTCTAGAAATACATTAACACCATGTCAGCTTCATGTAACAAAAGAAACAGGCAACACGGGCCCTGTGGGCCTCTTATTTTGTATTTAAGTTCCATCAGGGAGCCATCTTGGATTCTGACAATTGAAGTATGTTATCGCTACATGTATTTCTCAAGAACAATTTGTCAGATCAAGTTTGTTTTCACTATTTCTCACAAAGTACTCAAGATTGTTATCACTACATGTATTTCTCACAAAGTACTCAACAGATCTCAAAATTCATATGTAGGTTCTCCTCAGTTATGTCTGTTATTTTTGAGACTTATATGACCGGCCGCCCTTTTGGGGTCTGAAGTCATAGTCCGGCCATACGCATAATCCTACGTCGTCCTTGCAGTTATAACTCCAACACCATTGCTGACATTCCTTACATCTTTATTTCCATGTACACCTTACACAGGTTAATCCAAATGTTGATAATCTTTAACTCTCTCCTTTCCGACGCTCAAGGTCCCTCTACTTTTTGACTCGAAAGGTCTCCCCCTACTCTCTCGGTCTCGTTCCTTATATACTTGTGACTTGTCCCTCACAGAAGACCTCCTGTTGAGGCTCCTTGCTGATCTCAGCCATTTGACCAATGTTGTGTTTCTTATTTTACTTTAACCTGCTATTTTATCAAAACTATAATTGTTACAACTGATCTAAATACTTGTCCTGAAAGATGACATTCTCTGCTTTATACTGAGGTCTTACACTTATAACACAAACATTGAACCTAAATGCATTATTGAATTATTTAGTATTTGAATACTTCAAATGACAGTAAAACATATACAGAATCAAAACTACTTGCTTGATTTGAATAATCAAAACAGTTCCATAAACTACACATAATGCTCAGTGTAATTATGTCTCTATTCTTGTATAAAAGATTGATTCCATTATTTTTGATATTTCAGGGTTCATTGACTTCATAGTGGACCCCAGTTTCCAGATGATGTCCGAGATGCTTGAAAAGGTTCTGACACCATTACATCGCCAACAGAACCAAAATCCTAGTAACATTGATGAGGCTATATCAGAGGAAGTGTTTGACGACAAAAAGCAGGATAAAAGTACAAGCACAACCAGCCTGCACTCCTTGGGTAGTCAACCAAGCACACCACGCACTCCCATCTCGCCAGGTACAGCAATACATTTTGATTATCTGCAAACTTCAACATAGTCAAATCTTATTTTCAAATATTGGCTGTAAAGCTAACCTACAGGGCTAGGTTGTTAGGTAAGTTTATAGAGTTAGGTTCTTAGGTCAAGGTTGTAAGGTAAGTTTATAGAGTTAGGTTGTGAGGTCAAGTCTACAGGGTTAGGTATGTCATAGTTAAACATATTCATCAATGCAAGAAAAAAGTTTGGAATATAGTAAAGATATCATAATATCATCATGTGGTAATCATAAACAAAGTCTTAATTGATATATATTTCAAATCAAAAGAATGACTTTTGGTATAGGCCTAGTGAACAAAGTCTTGATGTAACAAAAATAAAGTATTGCTTAAGGTTCCACAAGAAATTGTAACAATAATAAAATATTTGACATAAGTCATAATAGTTGCATAATACATGTACAAAATTATAAATCTTTCTAATATTAAAAGAGATAACACTGTGTAGTTATGAGATTTAGAATAGTTCACCACCTTTCACATTGTCCAGCGGGTTTTTTTCTGAAGTTCTACTTAGTCTGAATGTCATCCATTCTAGGTACAAAAGTTTGCCCGTAGAATCTAATAATTTTCTGAGGAACTTTTTGAACTTTTGGTTTTCTGTAGAAGTAAAAGTTTGAATGTGCTATTTTGGATAACAAATTTCAATAAAACTCTTCTGACGTTCTACAAGGTCTAGTGTCTTGATACATGATCTGCTACATGCTCAGGTGATTGGCTATCATGTTTGAAAACAATATTGACTTTAATCAACATTCAAGGTCACAATGGTCAAACATGTTGAACTATTTAAATAGGCCTAGGTCCATGAGGTTTTGCCAGGAGCATTACTGAAGTAAGGGCTTAAGATTCGTTTAAGTTGTATACCTACACTAACATTGAATATTACTGTAAACGTGACTATCAAATCTATCTTAGAATTTTTAAGATTTTTACATTTTTAGATCTTTTAATATCTTGACAATAAACAACAAAGTAATCTTTTACAATCTTTTTCCATCTACCTATTACGTCTGTAGTAGGCCAGTACCATGGTGGATAGAAAAGCTATCTAGTTCAAAGTAATGACCTTGTTTTACTTTTATAATCATGGAGGTCAAATGTTTAATTTCATTTGTTTGAAATCCACCCATGTTATACTAATTTAAGTAACCTGGTTTATTAGCTCACCTGGTCCGGGGGACCATGGTGAGCTAATGCCATATCGCAGCGTCCATCGTCTGTCCGTCCGTCAACTTTTTCTTTAAAACGCTACTAGTCCTGAACAGCCAAGTAGATTTTGACTAAATTTAGTCTGGAGCATCCTTAGGCCAAGGTGACTTAATTTTGTATAAACGGTGGGTGTGGCCCCTTTGGGGGCAGAGGGGCGGGGCCCAATGGGGAAAATAGAGGTAAAACCTTTAAAATCCTTCTCCTACCGTAGGGATTAAGGGATTTTATCCTAATTAAGTCTGGAGCATCCCTGGGCCAAGGGGACTAAATGTTGTATAAATGGTGGGTCTGGCCCCCCTGGGGGCTGACAGGCGGCGCCGAATAGAGGAAATATAGTAAATTCTTTAAAATCCTTCTTCTGTAGAAATGAAAGGATTTGTTCCATATTTGGTTTGTAGCATACATGGGGAAGTGGAACAAATTTTGTATAAATGGTGGGTGTGGCCACCAGGGGCGGGCTGGGGACGGGGCCCAATAGGGGAAATATAGTAAATTCTTCAAAATCCTTCTTTCTCTGTAGGAATGAAAGGATTTGTTCCATATTTGGTCTGAAGCATACTTGGGGGAGGGGGAACCAATTTTGTATAAACGGTGGGTCTGGCCCCCCTTGGGGCTGAGGGGCAGGGCCCAATAGGGGAAATATAGTAAATTCTGTAAAATCCTTCTTCAGTAGGAATGAAAGGATTATTTCCATATTTGGTCTGAAGCATACATGTACTTGCGTGAAGGGGAACAAATTTTGTATAAACGGTGGGTCTGGCCCCCTGTGGGCAGAAGGGAGGGGCTTAATAGGGGAAACATAGCAAATTCTTCAAATACCTTCTTCTGTACGAATGACAGGATTTTGTTCAAATTTGGTATGAAGCATCCTTGGGTGAAGGGGATCCAATTTTGTATAAACAGTGTGTCTTACCCCCCCTGGAGGCAGAGAGGTGGGACCCAATAGGAAAAATAGAGGTAAAACCTTTAAAATCCTTCTTCTATCGTAGTAATAAGGGAATTTTATCCTAATTTGGTCTGGAGCGTCCTTGGGCAAAAAGGACTTGATCTTGTATAAACTGTGGGTGTGGCCCCTTTGGGTGCAGAGGGGCAGGGCTCAAAAGTGGAATTTGTGGTTTAAGTCTTCAAAATCCTTCTTCATCTGTTCCATTAGAGGGATTTCATCCAAAATTGGCCTGGAACATCCTTGAGCAAAGGGGACTTAATTTGGTATAATTGGAGGGTGTGGCCCCTCTGGGTGCAGAGTTGTGGGGCCCAATACGGGATTTGAGGTTTTATTTTTTTAAATCCTTCTTCTGTACCATCGGAGGGATTTTTTGTAATAAGAATAATTTCCCATGGTTGCTTTATTATCCAGGTGAGCGATACAGGCACTCTGGGATTCTTGTTTTATACAGCTTTATCCTTTTCTTTATAGAGGGTAAAAACCATGAGGTTAAAAACAATTGTAATTAAAAAATGTCTTAATAAGGTGCTAGTGTGTAGAACTCATCAATTTCTAGCTATTTTCTATTTCATTCTGTAGGTGGAAGATATCAGTTGAAATGCCCATGGACAACCTGTCTTACACAGAACAAGGTTCACTGGAAAGATCGCGCAACTAAAGGTAAAGCATGATAATAACTGGTAACCACAAAAGACAGGATAACATCAATTGGGAACATCAATAGTTCCCCTTGATCATATTAGCATATATTGGTATTGGTATTAGTCATTGAACAATAGACTGTGGTCGGGGAAGGCAATATTTTTAAAAACCTAATTAGGCTGTTTTAAGCCAACGATCATCGGATGGTGGACTATTCAAATCGACCTTCATCTGTGGTCCGTCTGTCATTCCATCCATCACTCCATAATTCCATCCGTCCTTAAACAATTCTTGCTAGCGCTAGATGGAGGCTCCCTAGCGCTATGATCCCTGTTTATTTATGCCTATCAAATTTTGGGACTGATTGAAAAATTAAGATGGCCATTAGTAAGTGTTATTTCTCAGAAATTACTGGAGGGATCTTTCTCAAATTTGATATATTATGATGTATCCCTTGGTCTTAGTTGTGCATATTTACTTTCAAGACTGATTGAGTAAACAAAATGGTAGACAGGAGGCCATCTTGGATTTTGAAAGTGAATGCTGTTTCTCAGGAAGTACTAGAGGGATCTTTAGGTGTAGGTTTCCCTTTGTCTTTTGTTATGCATGTTTAATTTTGACACTGATCTTATAAACAAAATGGCTGACTGGTGACCATCTTGGATTTGGACGGTTTAATTCTTATTGCTATTTCTAAGGAAGTACTAAATGGATCTTTCTCAAATGTGTTATGTAGGTTTCCATTGGTCCTTAATTGTGCATGTTAACTTTTGTGACTGGTGGAATAAACCATATTGATGAAAGGTGGCCATCTTGGATTTTGACAGTTAAAGTTTGTTATTGCTAATTCTCATAAAGTCCTTGAGTGATCTTTCTCAAATTTGATTTGTAGATTCCCGTTGGTCCCTAGTTGTGGATGTTTTATTTTGAGAGTGATCATAAAAACAAGATGACCGCAGGAAGAACTTCACAGATCTTTCTCATATTGCAATGATCAGTTCTATATCTTCCACATTAAGTGCCATACTAGTAAATATTTGAAATGACAATCTCACATTGAATGTCTTTTTTACACAGCAGTATGAAGTCTAAATCAATTTACCTCAAGGTGCATTTACTGTATACATGACTTGAACAGACAGATAAGAGAAAAGAGGTGAAAAGATCAAACTAACATAGAACTAATGAAGATGGTACAATGGTAGGCGCCAAGATCCCTCTGGGATCTCTTGTTTTGGATTTAAATCAATTTCAAGCATTCCATGCTTTAAAAAAACACAATCTCACAAAGATTGCAATATTGTCAATGAAATAGTTATTTAGCTCACCAAAGGGCCATTAGAAAGTGAGCTTATGCCATGGTGCAGCGACCGCCGTCCATCAACTTTTTTCTTTAAAACACTATTAGTCCCTAATAGCTCAGTAGATTTTGACCAAATTTGTTCTGGAGCATCATTGGCCATAGGGTTTTCAATTTTGTATGAAAGAAAGGTATGCTCTGCCCCCTCCCCTCTTCTCCTTCTAAACTAATGGAGGTATTTTGACTACACTTGTTCTAGAACATCTTTGAGGGTGTAGCCCCACTGGGGGGGGGGGGGGGGGGGGGGGGACGGGGGGCAGAGAGACGGGCCCATTAGGTGAAATTGAGGTAAATCGTTTGAAAGCTTTCCATTGTATGAATAGAGGACTTATGTCATCACCAAATTTGTTCTTGGTCATCCTAAGGCAAATGGTACTAAATTTTGTATAAACGAAGTTCTTATAGGGGAAACATAGCTAATTATTTAAATTCTTCTCCTTCTGTAGGACGGAGAGATTTAAACCAAATTTGGTGTAGAGCATCCTTTGGCAATTGGAACTCAATTCTATATATACCCCTGGGGCAGGGTTTTTTGGCCCAATAGGGGAAATAAAGGTTAATCAATAAAATCTACTACTGTATGAATTAATTTAGGAATTTTATCCCCACCCTAACATCAAATATACAATCGCTAGGCGTAAAGAGAAGAAAACATTCATGCTTCTAGGATTTGACTAGCGGTCCAGACCAATACCCATGAAAACTTCCTCCCTGGGTAGCAGTGAAACTGTCGAGATCCCCATGCCGTAACCATTTACAACACTGCTGGGCATGAAGAATACATTCACGATTTTGGTGTCTTACCCACCCAAACAGATTATATAGTCTTTCTTGCAGCTTCTATGTCTTGTACTCCTTTGATAAATTGGTATGGAACTCCCCAGGTTTTATATTGAAATAAAATACCAGGTGAGGTATTAAGGCCCCTTGACCTTTAGTTTTTGTTACTTTAATATACGCTTCAATAATAGTTTTGTTTTTAAACTTATTCTTTACTTCAATCCCTCCTAAAAATTAAAGTAAGCATTGTTTTATCTTCAATTAATTTAATCATAACCACCTAAATACCTCATATCTTATTCCAAAAAGCTTTGTTTTCACTAGTATGTGTTAACCTAGATACTGTTATGCATATAAAATGATCAAATACCTGTTATTGTGAATGGTCGAACAATGTTTTTGAGTAAAACTAGAATAGTGTCCATTGTACATTATAAACAATTCTTGTTACTCTTGTTGTGTAAGTTTAATTTGGTTTGGAATATAATTTCTTTTCAAATATTAGTCATGATTTATTGTCTCATTTACCAGCAAAGTACTTAATTTTTAAAAGTTGACCTTCAAAACCCCTGGTACATCAGATAGTGTTAGTAACAAAAACATTCATTCTCAAAGGTAATTTGATAACCTGGGCCCAGATGGGATGAAACTATTCTCATGCTCAAACTCAGATTCTGTGCTCAAGCCCAATATCTATGGTAAAATCACATTTTGTCAATATGGAAGAATTTTAAACCGACTTAAAGCTTGATACTGTTTTCAATTTTTACACTTATCTTTTTGACAGTGTTACATGCTTTAAGAAAGTTACAAGAGAGTTGGCTTGAGCACAGAGTTCATGCTGAAGCATGGAAGTGGTTTTAACGAATATGTTCCCAGGACTGACCATCCCTACACCCTACAATTCAAAAGTTGTTTGTACAAATAGCTTGAGGGTGCTTAATATTATACATGTATCCAAGGTGAGCCTCCTGGGTAATATATTGTTTTATCATGTGCTCATACACACAAAGGTATGTACTATTGATGATGATTGAGATTAAATTTCATATGTAGAAATTAGAAATGGATAAAAAATGGTGAATTGTGAAGTAATTTGAATTGAATTGTAGGACATATAATTCTTATTCAGATGCAGAGGAGAGGAAGAGATTGGCAGCTTTACAGGAAGGTTCAGACAAAAAGGACACTAACCAATTAAATGCCTCAGAAAATTGTAGTGAAAAAAACTTAAAAACACAAAAACTTGCAAACAACACCAAAATACCAACGAGACATGACAACACCAATCTGGTCTCTAATGAAGGTAAGAATGACCAATGATACAGAAGAGGCACTGACCAATGATACAGAAGAGGAACTGACCAATGATACAGAAGAGGAACTGTTGTTGTGGTCAAATATTGTACACAGTTGGCAACGGATACAGAGACAATTGATATGTTGGCTTCCTTATCATCACTGCTTCCTTTGTACAATGTCACCTCCAGTGTGACGGTAATATTTGCAGAACTTTTCTGGAGCTTCTACTGTGATCTTTATGTTTCTAGACTGGAGTGACTGTACCTGATATCTTCTTTTCATCAATAATTACATTGTGTATGGTTCAGTGTGCCACTACAGGGAGACAATGGAATTAGTTGGTCTCCATTCTAAAATGATGTGAAATATCTGTTGTTAACATGCATTAGTTTGATAAACACAAACATGTACACCAATAAAACTGAACATTCATAGATGTCAGCAAAACAACATCTTGTTTTTATAACTGAACATCAAAAGATGTCAGCAAAACAACATGTTGTTTTTATAACTGAACATCAATAGATGTCAGCAAAACAACATGTTGTACTCATGACTGAACATCAATAGATGTCAGCAAAACAAATGTTGTACTCACAACTGAACATCCATAGATGTCAGCAAAACAACATGTACCTATTACTGAACATCCATAGATGTCAGCAAAACAACATGTTGCACCTATTACTGAACATACATAGATGTCAGCAAAACAGCATGTTGTATTCATAACTGAACATCCATAGATGTCGGCAAAACAACATGTACCTATTACTAAACATCCATAGATGTCGGCAAAACAACATGTACCTATTACTGACCATCCATAGATGTCAGCTAAGCAACATGTTGTACCTTTTACTGAACATCCATAGATGTCGGCAAGACAACATGTTGTGCCTTTTACTGAACATCCATAGATGTCGGCAAAACAACATGTACCTATTACTAAACATCCATAGATGTCAGAAAAACAACATGTACCTATTACTAAACATCCATAGATGTCGGCAAGACAACATGTTGTACCTATTACTGAACATCCATAGATGTCAGCAAAACAACATATTATACCTATTACTGAACATCCATAGATGTCAGCAAAACAACATGTTGCACCTATTACTGAACATCCAAAGATGTCAGCAAAACAACATATTATACCTATTACTGAACATTCGTCGATGTCAGCAAAACAACATATTATACCTATTACTGAACATCCAAAGATGTCAGCAAAACAACATGTACCTATTACTGAACATCCATAGATGTCAGCAAAACAACATGTTGTACCTATTACTCAACATCCATAGATGTCGGCAAGACAACATGTTGTACCTTTTACTGAACATCCATAGATGTCAGCAAAACAACATGTTGTACCTATTACTGAACATTCATCGATGTCAGCAAAACAACATGTAACAAATTAAAACCTTTAGTCAAGTTCATTTTGAAGAAATGCAAATGTTTTAACTTTTGTGTTTTGCTCATCAGGTGTAAAAAGGACCAGCATTTGTCATTACTCTGCCATGCATTTGACACTTTTCACATTTTAGATTTCCTACTTAAAATAGTTATTGCTTGCCTTTATTCTTTTAAAACATGGCACTAATGTCAAGCATAGGATAAAAAATAATTAAAAGGATGAGTAAATTATGTTCCCCAAACAGGATAAAAAGTAAGAAATGTAATGTAACTTATAAGTCTACAGTTCATTGCCTACATATATAGGGTTCGCCTTTAAGTTTGTTGATATCCCAAGATGATAAATTGGCCATATCAAGGGAGACTGACATAGAAAGTTATTGGAGCCAGGCTTTGAATAAAGTGGTTTCATTGTTATAGCTTTAAAATTTCATTTTAACTTGGCTATATGTTCTACAAATAAGGTAACTTTTGCCTTTAACTGCTTTCAGTTGGCATTCATAGGATATATGAATGTAGCAGTATTATAAATAGAGTATAAATAGCACAGGGCTCCAAGGGTTTGTTAAATGGTACTGGAATAACCAATAATAAATAAACTGTACAACATGAAATACATTCACAATATATGCACACTTCATTCACGCTGTTATTTCTATTGAACCATTCCATCAAGAATCACAACATGTATTGATTTCAACAGATTTTATTTAATTTGTATATGTCAATGGAATTTGACATCAGGCTAAGTCTATTGAAGTCCTTACCATATTACATAGTAGGATCACTTCTTTACTTTGAAATAGTAATCTGACCAAAAACAGCAACGGAGTATGCCTGAAAAATTCAAATATTTAAAAACTTCAATAATCTTTTTTTTTTTTAAACTAATTCAACTAATTGAAAACATTACTTTTTTACTGTTCAATAACATACAAAACTAATATTTGTAATGCAAGTACTAAAAATTAAATCTCAGATCTTTCAAATCTTATCTCTAAAACTTTAGAACAAGACTAGCCTCTATGACTGAAAGGTCCAACTGACCACAACATCTAAAAGTAAAACTTTGACATTATTGCCCATGACCACACAAAAATAAACACTCACTTCAAAACCTATGACATGCAGTATCACATACAGACACATATACATAAAATTCACAAAATAATCAATATTACATATTAAAACACATAATAGGCATTCATAGCCTAGATGTAGTGTAATGGCAATGCCTGATGATGGTAAATATCACAATGTATGTAATTACGAAGCTTTCAAATCGCATTTTTTTAACATTAGCTTATAGTTATATACAACGGATGTAGCAATAAATTTATCTATCCTAGCTGTCACATTTTATTCACTTTATTTATGTCTGTTACATTGGTCAGGTGTTACAGATCCGCTGACATATGTCAATTAGAACAGGTGGTCTACTGAACTAATGTTATTTATAGAAGTATTACTGTTAACATATAATCTGTCAATGTAATATAACATAAAGTGTTTTGATAGGTCCCTACTTTGCAGTTAACAGTGGGTTTGTTCTTTCCAAAGGCCAAATAATAAGAATTGTGTTGTTATTCAGGTGCTTCAGTGTGATTATTCAAACTAAAAATGTAACATATGAAATAAAAACGACAGACAACTGATGTTGGTAAGATATAAGTAACTGAAAACGACAGACAACCTGCATGTGATCATTGCATGGCTTCCATGTTCTGTTGTAGTTAACCTGTTAATGCTGTATGTAAATAACTATATACTAATATATGATGTAATGAAAACACAAAACATTATGCAAATGATTGATTACGATATAATTGATCCTTAATGAAGACATATATATTAGGTCCTGTTCAGTCTTCCCACTCCAAACCGAGTGTTCCTGAGTCACCATAAAACGTGTCACCTTGTTTTAACAGGAATAAACCATGATGATGGAATATCTAAATCCAAAACAATTTTATCCAAAAGGTTTTTTCCCATATAGATAAATGTATGTCACTTTCTTTTTACATAGTGATGGAAAACATGAACATAAATAGGTACTTTATATCCAAATAGTTATATGGTATGAATATTATGAATAAAATGCATGCATTGGTGAATTTATTTCTGACATGGTCTTAAATAAAGCTGATGTTAACAATCAAACTGTTTGGAGTGGAAAGGTTTCAAGCTTAGATGCAATTTTCATGTTTCTACGTGATTATACGTCAATGTTTATCCCCCTCCCACAATTTGACATTTTTTTTTTTTTTTAATGGTATTTTTCATTTAATTATACTTATATAATTATACATTTTGGCACAGTAAAACCTTACCCTCCTCTTTCTAGGTCTAGCCTGAAAAACTGAGTAGGTTGATGCCATGATGTAGTGTTAAGGTGTTATTGGGATAAATAAAGGGTACAGGTAATCCCCTAATAGGTATCATCCTTCCCTGGCTCTACTATTGTTTGTGCTGTGATATTTCACTTTAAGAATTGTTTAGAGAATAACCTGCGACTAGGACTTAGGAGCCATTAATTGATGCAATGTGTATAAAGGCCCAAACTTGTTTGAGGTAATGATAGAAGGGTGATCCACTTTATTTTAAAGCTAAATATGTGACCTTGAAATGGTAATAGTGTCAGTTATTAGGCTAGGTTCTTCAGTCTGGTTAACCATTGTCTCCAGTGACAAATTCAAATTGTCTGTTTTTGCAAGGCAGTGTATGCTTTCACTAGCTAATATAGGTTAAGTTTCAAAAAGCCCCTTAAGAAATCAGTGGTTACCCGAAATTTCAACCCCCTGATAAGTCATATTTAAAACACCCTAATTAAAAACAGGATTCATATAAATTATGTAATAAGGATATATTCAACTCGTTGTTGAAGATTAAAATTGGTATATAGCAGTGCTAACTTATTCTAACAAATCATTAAAGCTGATGTTGTAATGAAGATAATTCTCCAACACTGTAAACATGAAATGTCTTTTGTAACCAAACTGAATGCTACAACATGACATATTGTCTTAAGCTTATATTGTCATGCATAACTTAACTTTAAGCCCAACTGGCCCAAAGGGAAATGAGAAAGAGAGGTACCGGTACATCTTTAAAAACCTTCTCCTTGTTTACCAATGGAGGAATTTTAATTAAATTTGTTCTGTAGCATTTTTTCTGGAGCAATCACTCAATATTGTATAAATGGAAGGTGTGACCTCCTAGGGGCAGAAAGATAGGAAATAGAGATACATCTTTTAAAATCTACCTTTTTCAATAAAAATGTAAGATTTTCACCAAATTTGGTTCGGAGCATCAATGGAGAAAGGAAAATTACTTTTGTATAAACAGAGGCTTTGACCCTAGGAGCAGAGGGGCAGAAGGGCAGGGCACAATAGGGGAATGCATGATCTAGATGTTTACATAAACTTTAGATATAATGTGTCATTTCATAGTATTTAATTAGGTGGATTGACATGTTATATTGCTGGTTAAGTGTTTTATATTCAGACATTATCCTTTCTTTTTTAATTTAAATGAAGGTTAATTATTTTTCTTGATAGATATCAAATAACAGATTTGTGAGCGATAGAGACCAAGGGGTTCTTCTTTTGTTAATTATTAGCTCACCTGGTCCAAAGGACCTATGGCAGTGATATAGGCCAAGGTTAACTTATGCCATACCGTAGCGTCCAATCGTTTGTACATCAACATTTTTTTCAAACGACTTCTTCTTAACCACTGATTGGAATTTTGACAAAATTTGACTGGAAGCATCCCTAAGTGGTGGTGAATCAAAATTGTACAAATGGAGGGGTTGAAGGGCGGGGCCAAAAAAGGTTATTTGGCTATATTGGTTTAAGCGACTTCTTCTCTGGAACTAATTGGATATCAATCATATTCGACTGGTAGCATCCCTAGGTGGTGTGGATTCAAAATTGTACAAATGGTAGGGCTGGTCCCTCAGGGGGCTGAGGGCGGGACAAAAAGTGTAATTTAGCTATAAATAATGCTTTAAGCGACTTCTTCCTGGAAATAAGAGATAGATATCAACAATGTTTGGTTGGAAGCATCCCTTGGTAATAAGGATTCAAAATTGTACAAATGGTGGGGCTGACCCCAGGTTTTCTGAGGGGCAAGAACAAAAAAAGGTAATTTGGCTATATAAAAAGGTAATTTGGCTATTTTTGCTTTTAGCGACTTCTTCTCTGGAACTAAATGATGGATATCAATTATCATTTGTTGGAAGCATCCTTAGGTGGTGGGGATTAATAAGTGTACAAATGGACAGACTGACCCTGCCTTGGAGACT